GATTACCCTCAAACACAGCATTTATTCAGAAATTACATGCTCCATGAAAAAATAAACAGAATTTATTCCTTGTGCTTTTGTTGCTTTTAGGTTGATTCCAACTCATAATGACACTGTATAAGGGTTTCTGAGGCTGTGTTATTCCTTGTTGTTGTTGTTAGGTGCTGTTGAGTTGGTTCTGACCCATAGAGACCCTGCATAGGGTTTCAAAGGAGCAACTGGTGAGTTTAAACTGCCGATCTCACGGTTCCAATCAAACTTACAGTCTAGCACATTAACTCACAGCACCACACCAGGACTCCATTATTCCTTGGTCTTCAAGGTTGGCCTTCAAACTTACCAGCAACTCCTTAGAAACGCTATACAGGGTTGTTATGAGATGGAATCTACTTGATGGCATTGAACAATACAACAATGCCTAGTAAGTATAAGACAATGAGAACATCTCACATAAATGTAACATTTGATCCATTTCCCAAGAGAAAAATTACAAATTAGATCTTGAAAAAGTTTCGTGAAATCTGACTTCTATTTTTTAAAAAAGCAGCTCCTAAACCAAACCAAACCAAACCAAACCCCATTGGTGCTGCGTAGTCTGGTTCACAGTGACCCAAAAGGACAGAGTACAGCTGCCCAATAGGGTTTCCAAGGCTGTAAATCTCTATAGAAGCAGACTGTTACATCTTTCTCCCTCCAAGTGGCAGGAGAGTTCAAACTGTCAACCCTTCAGTCAGCAGGGAAGTGCTTAACTATTTGCACCACCAGGCTTCTTCCAATTGCTACAAACAATAGCACTTAGCACCCAGTCTAATGCTATTGGAATGGGTTGGTTGTTTTTTAAATTTTTTTTGTAATCTGGGCAAGGATAGATACGTATATGTTAATTATCATTAAAACTTTCAAAATAAAGGTTTTTTTTTTGTAGTAGGCTGAAAAAATAACATAAGAACTAAATACTAATCTATTATAATTGTAGAAGATGGTAATGTCATATTTGGTATTTTCTGTCTTTGAAAGAAATTTCTGACATTTATTTTTTTAATCACCTGGTTCAAAAATCTTAAAGTAAAAGAAGAAGTAAAATGCTCCTTTTCATTTGTAAAGATCTCCCACCCCCATCATTGTAGTTGATGTTGTGTGATGTCAAGACAATTCCTACTCATAGTTACCCTATAGGACAGGGTCCAACTGCCTCACTGGGTTTCATGGGCTAGAATCTCTTTGAGTTCTACTCTGGCCTTATGGCATTATGAGTCAGAATCTATTTGATAGCAATGGAAATCTTTATGGGAGCAGAACTCCAAGTCTTTTCTCTAGCAGAGTGAGTGGTGGGTTTGAACTCCCACTTTTAAATTAACAAATTAACTATTGTGCCCCCAGGGCTCCTTCTGCCCTGACTACCATCCCCATAACCATAAGAATACGTAAGTTTTTTGGTACCCTTGGAGTTTTGTAATGCACATTCGAACAAATACAAAGTATGTTTTTCCCTCTTCTTTGCATAAAAGATAGCATAGTACAAGTCTGCACAGTTCTGAGTTTCTGAGTGTTGTCCTTTTCGCTTACTATACTGATGAGTAAAGAGCATGTTCTTTTTTTGAACACAATGGAATATATTTTATGTAATGAGTAAATTTAATTTACTTAACAGTCCTCGATATGATAGACATCTCAGTTGTTTTCTATCTTTTGCTATTGCAAACAACACTGCCAAAAGAAACTGGAATATATATTGTTATTGTTATCGTATATAGGATTGTTGTTGTTATTGTTAACTGCTGTCAAGTGGGTTCCTACTCTTAGCGATACTGTATAGGGTTTCTGAGGAGCAGCTGTTGAGCTTGAACCACTGACCTTGCAGTTCAAACAGACCTTGCAGCACATTAACCCACAATGCCACACCAGGATGCCATGTAGGATGGATTCCCAAAAATGAAACTCCTGAGTTAAAAGGCACACACTTCTAACTTTGAAAAATGAATTGCCCTCCACAGTTATACAAATTACTCTTCTTCCATCAATATTTGAGTTCCTTTTCTCCAGTCATGCTTCCAGAATGTTTCCTCCTAAGTGAAAAATGGTAAATCAATGTACTTTGTCATTTCTTACTAAGAAGTTAGACAATTCTTTCATATATTTAAAAGCCATTATTTCTTTTTATGAATTCTGTGTACTGGTATTGTATTTTGTTTGTCCCTTTAAATCAATGTCTAAGAACTCGTCACAATGTCTAAGAGTAATATTTACTCTTTACCTATTTGTTATTTTCTCCCTAGTTTTTTTTTTGTAGTTTGATTTTGTTTATGTCTCTCCCGGCCCCCCAAGGAGAATGTTATTTTTTTTCTGTAGCTAAATTGAGTTAATTTTTTAACAACTGTTTTCTAGATTTGGAGTAAGAAGCCCTTCCTTGTGGCACAGTGATGAAGCATTAGGCTGCAACTCACCAGCTGCTCTTAGGGAAAAAGCTATGTCAGTCTGCTTCCTTAAAAATTCGTCTTGGAAATCCTATGGGACAATTTGACTCTGGCCTGTAGGGTCACTTGAGTAGCAATCAACTCCATTGACAATGTAGGTTTTTTGTTTTGTTAGATTTGGAGTAGGGGTCCTGGTGATTAAGTGGTTAAACACTCAGCTGGACACTGAAAAGTGGGCCATTAGAACTCACCAACCACTATGCGGAATAGAGACCTGGGAATCTGCTTCCATCATATTACAATCTTAGAAACCCTATGGGAGTGTTCTTCCCTGTATGGTAGGGTCACTAGACATTGAAACAGACTCTATGGCAATGGGCTTTTAGATTTGAATTCTTAGAAAGATCTGAAGTAATAAAGGCAAGTCTCATGTTTTCTTTTAGAAAGATATGGTTTATTTTCTCTTTTCACATGTAGATTGATTCATCTATAATTTTTCCAAATTGAAGGTGTGAAGAATATAAGGATATTATGAGAGCAGAAGGCAATGAAAGTAGGAGTGTTTGTGTCAGGTCAGGCGGCTTCCCAGCAGAAGTGGCAATTGAAACTTGAAGAACAAGTGTTGTAAAGGACAAGAATGCAGGGACAGAATTCCAGGAAACAGAATAATACAAGCCAAGTTTCCAAGACATGAAATGGTCTGGAAAGTAAGGGAAGGAGTTAGAGTTTAAAAAATATTGTGACAGGGCAGAATGTGCGTGGAAGAGGTGGATGGGAACCAAGTCACTACGAGCCTTGCATGCTACCCTGAGGAGACTGAAATTTATCTTGGTTTTAAACCAGAAATAACATAGTCAGATCAGTAATAACAGATAGTGTTTACTGAGCGCTTATATTTCATGGGCTTGGATTTACAGCTTAAAAACCCTACAGAAAGTTGCTATGACTCGACAACACTTAACAATACTATTAAGTGCAGTCCATGATGTATTCTATACTCTATCCCTATAAAATTCATCATGTTTAGTAGGTTGTTGCTGTTGTAAGTGTCATGTTGTTGGTTTTGACTCATAGCAACCCAGTATAGAGTTTCTGAGGCGTTAAGTATTTTTCCAGGAGCAGAAATCCTCATTCCTCTCCTGTGGAGTGGCCGGTGGACTTGAACTGTGGTTAGAAGTCCAGTGCTTATCTTATGGAACCACTGCACTCCCCATGTTTAGTAGGAAGCCTATGAAAATAAGGAAACCCTCAGTGAATGGGTTAACCCAGTAGCCACAACAATAGACTTAAACATATGAAAGATCAGCAAGATTTCACAGGATCAGGAAATGCTTTGTTCTGTTAATATATAGGTTGCTATGAGTCAGAGCTGAGTAGCCTGTTATTAACAACACATTAAGTAGCATCTTTCAAGGACTACAAGAAGGCCCCTTCCATTCACATCTTTCAATAACATGGCACACTGTAAGAAATTCTCCCATTTTATATTAACACAGACCTCTGGTGTGGTGCTGTAGGATAAGCAAAGGACTACTAACCAAAAGGTCAGCTGCTCCTTGGAAACTCTATACAGGGTTGCTGAGTTGGAACTGACTTGACGGGCACTTAACAAGGATTAACACAGGAGCCTCTGTGTTAAACATTTGACTACTTCCTGGAAGGTTGGTGGTTCAAATCTTCCTAGAATTGACTTGGAGGACAGGCCAGATGATCTGTTCCAAAAAGGCCACAGCATTGAAAACTCTGTGGTACAAGTTTACTTCACACAAGGGGTCACCAGGAGTCAAAATCTACTTGATGGCAACTAACAACAGAATTAACACCCTCACTTGAAAATTCAAACATCTTTCAGAAGATCAAAGTTGCTGGTATAGGGATTCCCAAAGGGCCATCCTGTTCTCAGAACTGCCCTCAGATATATTCCTGACAGTTACATCAGGCTTTCAGAGACTTCCTCCTAATACCCATAAATGTGATGCCTCCCAATAACCTAGATCTGAAACATTCAGTCCAACTTTTATTTCCGTCACTATCAAATAAAACTAACTGGAAGGAAATTAATTCCAAAGTTCAGAAGGGTTTGGAAAGAAGAAGGAATGGGATAAGAAAGCACACAGAGGAAGTAAGATGTTACTACATTGAAGAGATTGCAATCAGTGAAATGAAACCAAATGTATATGAATTGTTGAATGTAAAACGGACGACGTGTTCTGTATGTAAACCTTCATCTAACTCACAAATGTTAAGTTCCGTAGAGTTGATTCTGATCCATAGTGACCCTGTATAGGATTTCCAAGGAGCAGCTGGTGAGTTTGAACCACCAACCTTGCAGTTCAAACGACTTTGCAGTCTGATGCATTAGCCCACAGCGCCACACCAGGACCTTCTTAAGATGACCATATTTTTAGACCACCACAAAAAAATCATACTGCAAATCCTGACAATGCATGTGTGTACTCTTTGGAGGGGTGCATATAGATGATACTAAAATTTAGGCAAATTTATGATGTGTGGGAAGAAGATTTTACAAGTAGGCAAATTGACATCTTACAGAAATTATTTAAAAAGACATCTCAGAAACAGAAGCACGCTACAACAGGTAATTTTATTTCTCAAGGGCTCATATTGCAAACGTTAAGCCAAGCATGTGCTGTAATCATGTGGGCCCAAATTCACATACTTAGGAAAGGAAAAGCAGACTGTTATCCATATACTTGGATAATCACTAAAGGCTCATGTTAATCACATTGTGGTTTTAAATTTCTACAGCATAGAACTCAAACGTCACAGGTCTTTTAGATCCTTCTGGATGTCCCACAGAGTATCTGCGCTCTTCTTGAGTTGAGCAACCTCATTATCCTTCAGCTTCTGGTTGATAACACTGGTTAACCCTCGAGCATTCAGAATGCACGGAAGGCTCAGGAAAACTTCATTCTCAATGCCATACATCCCCTGCCAGAAACAGAAATAGTCTTTTAGATCAGGATATGAAACCATGAGTAGGAACGGTCCTATGTTTGAACAGAAAGAATGGGAGAAACGCTGGTAAGCACAAATGCACTCTTTAAACTAATTTTCATCACTCATATTTTATTCCAATACTTACATTTTGAATTAAATACATAGAATATGCAACTTTATACTATATGGTGAAGCTAGATACTTATAAGAAAATAGATTATTAAAACAAGATTGTTGTAACACTTAAAAGTTGTTTAAAAAAAAGAGCACAATTTCTAAAACTATCAGTTTTTATGCAGTAATTTAGTCACAAGATCTATTTAACTAAAACGTGATCAAGTTATTTAATTATATTAAGAGTTAGTGTAATATAATCTTTTGAACATTTAGTTACAAACATTTTACACACCAACAAAAGTAGAAAGAGTAAACACATTCCTATATGTGAGTATATATTCCAAGACACATCATTTATCCAATTTTTGTCACATTTACTTTTTAAAATTTTTGTTATTGTTTAAAGCAAGCACCTGGCAGGCCATCTTACTCTGAAATACATCTATATGCATCAATTTTACATTTGTGTATACAATTTCTTGTTTCTTTTAATCTATTACATTCCCTTCTTACTTTTATCCTCTGGCACTGACTAGTGAAAAATGAATCCATTATCTTACTAAACAAAGTTTTAATACAATTTTAGTTTTGTTTGAAGAATAAATGATCAATTTCTATCTAACTAGTCATTTTTATTGTGTTTATCTCATGGCTTTTGAACTGAACTTAATTTTCTACAGCATCAGGTGCAACATCAAAGGCTATCTATTCTTAATATACACATTTGAAAACAAACCCTATGACTCTCACTTAAGAGGTTCTATATTTTGAGGAGTCCTGGTATGGCACTGTGGGCTAATGTGTCAGACTGCAAAGTTGTTTGAGCTGCAACGTTGGTGGTTCAAGCTCACTGGGTGCTCCTTGCAAACCCTATACAGGGTTGCTATGGGTTGGAATCAACTCGACAGCACTTAACAACAACATAGTTTGAGAATGTGCTTAGTAAAAGTCAGCATAAACATGCATATTTAATCCATCACATTCTATAAAGAGGAATTGTAAAATTATATAGACTGCTGCTACAACTTTTATACTTTTATCCTGGACTTCTGTTGGAAAAGAGGGAACGTTTGTGTAGAACACTGAGGTAGACATTCGAAAGAACTGAGGATTGGGTTTTATAAACATTAGTTTTAAGAACAAACAAGATGGTGGATTGGGTGGAAGTGCAGTAAAGGAGCTCCGCCAACAGCAACACAGAATACCCGACCAAGCAGGCTCAGGAGAGGGTCCCAGAACTCTGAAACACATATAAAGGAATATTTAGAAGGTTGGAAGGCTCACAGCTGGGGGAATTTGTGGCAGAAGCAAGAAATCTATTGATTTTTAGTCCGGGACTCTCAGCTGCTCCAAGAGCCACCATCTTGGGTGAGACCACATGGGGGAAAGATCGGAGCGGCCACGGACGCCTGGCAGAACCACTGAAATAAAGGTGTGGACATTCTTTTCTTTTGGTATCTGTTCATTGGCCCCTTGTTTTCTGTGCACCTCCATTCTAATGACTATAGGGGTGCCTGAGCTGTGGGCACCCCAGCCCCACCCCTGGAGGGTTCTACTACGAATGCGCACAGTTCTCCTCAAAATTTAAAGAGACAGTTTCCAATTAAAACCAAACAGCCACAGCCGGTCCTGAACTGTTTCCAACTAGAAAAAAGACCTGAACAGGGATTGTGGAGTGGGACAAGCAGACAAAAGAGGAAATAGGCCAAAAATTAAATCCTAA